TTATATCTTTGTGATGAGTAGACAAACAAAACACAAATATATACACTTGGCCTTGGTACTTGGCCTTCATCGGACCAATAAGCTTAACTGGATAAAAGCCAAAGTTCTCTAAGAGCCATGTGCATAATATGACTCTGTGGGTTCATACCTTGAGCAGCCATCTCATTGCTTAAACCCTCTTCCGTTGTACCAATTAAAGGGGAACTGTAATTTTTGTTAATTTATACCATCAATTGAGAGATTTTGCTAACTTTTTTGTTTTTGTTTCCACTGAAATGCTCCTTTTTTTCCAGAGTTATTTATAAGATTTTGCAAATAGCATCAAAATCCTGTTCAGACAAGTCAAAGCCAGGACAAACATTACGAATCTAGTTTGGCTATGCTGACTGGCTATATGGACAAAGCTTATAACAAAGACTGACTGAGAAGAAGCTAAGAGGGAAGTAATCAGTTGCAGGTTAAAAAGATCAGAATTTCCACATTTAATTTTATTTTCATACTTCACAAGTACATATAGTGATAAGTAAACAAAAGCCTGGGAGGTGACAGTTTGCCTTTAAAATCAGGAAGGGAGATTGGGATTGCTCTCTAATTAGCATATTTATTTTTATTATAAAATATATATTTAAAAAACAAGTTTTTGCTTTCAGGATGTAAATAATACAGGTGCGTTTGCTGTCAGAATGTTTCATCTCTACCAGGACGCGCCTGCTGACCGGCTTCAATTTATCAGAATTGTAAGTCAACTTCGACATTCAGCTGAATTATACAACAAAGAGAGAACTTGGCGCCTTCATTGTAGTTGTAAAATTTAATTAATTAATTAATTAATATTTGATGGAGAGCCACCTTCTTAGGAATTTAGCACGTTAACTCAATAAAATACAACAAAGAGCCATTCTTGGCTTTTACTGCAAGTCAAGTTGCTAAACACGGCAAGATCTATGTGTGACCTCATGCTGGATGTTATAGAGAATCTACACTTAGCGCACATGAAGCAAACAACAACTGGCATAGGGCTAAGTTAGCACAGGCTTCAAATATAACCTCTGATCATGTTCTCTAAACAAATTGAGTGCAAGCTTATAAGTATAAACAGTAATTCTGATTTTTACCCTTTTTTTTTTTTTTTTTTTTAATTCTTTATTTTTGTTGTGCATTATGGGTTACAAACATGCTTGTTATGCCACGACAGCAGTCACAGGTATATCAACGTAAATATTGTCATGACAGGTTGAAGCTGCACATTTTTATAAGTAAGTATGCGTACGAATACATGCGATCAATGTTAAATGTATGCGAGTTGTTGATAGTTATGCTTAACTGGTGGTTGTTGTTCTATGCCTGGCACATTTTAGCAATCATTTGACTCAAACAATTATGAAACTTAGGGGAAACCAGCTTAGTTTAGTAGTGTTACTCATATATCAGAAATACCGTTTTGTTCATACTTAGATTACCGGTCGATGAACTATAATAGCTTAAAAGAAAAAGGAAACTAAACCAGGCTATGGCATATAATAACAAAGTAATAGGGTTCTGTCCACGGTAATTGCATCAGGCTAGTTTTAACATGTAACTCGGTTGATATGTGATGGAGCCTATACATCAAAATTGTGCCTTGCCAGATGTGGTGCTTCAGTAATTAAGCATTTAGTTACAAGCACTTCCCTGGACCCAGATTAACCAGCTATGCCTCCCACCTCCCGAGAAAAAGACACAACAGTATTAGCTAGTTAAGTGCAGATCCCCATATTCCTGACTGGTAGCTGGTAAAAACGACTGAGTTACTAAGAACCCCCTTTATGTTGGCAGTCTCTTATATTTAGACAGTATTTTATGCTTGCCGCTGGTGTTCAAGGTTGCAGTCATGTCCATGTTCCCCCGGTTGCTCCGGTAGGAGTAGTAGTGGGGACGTCGGATCATCCAGTGGGTTGTGGAGCATTGTTGTGCCCATTCGCTTGTAGTCTTGTGGATGTTGTCCGCCCGTTCCGCTTTGCTGCTTGGTGGAGAGACTTTTGCGTTGTGGCTCAATGCTGGTAAGAGGGTAAAGTATCGTTGTCGTAGATAGGTCGTATGAGTCTCTGCATTATCGGTGCCCCCTATGAGTTCATTGCAATCTAGATGTCGGTTGGTCGTTAGTTGGTGGCGCGGTCTCACCAGGGGTGGCTGTGAGTGGTTAGCCTTTTTTGCTTGGTTGCTGTAGTAGTGGCTTGTTGCTTGCCATAATAGTCGTCGGACCAGCTTGTTCCCGGAGGTCTCTTTGCTCCCCTTGGGATCGTGGAAAGGGCTTACCCTCCTTCTGTCAGCCGCCATTTTAGTTGCGGCATTTGGGCCACGAGGCTGGGTGGCAACGGTGTTGGCCCCCGGGTTGTGCTGTTTCGGTCTGGGTCCCAGGGTGCGGACCGGGATCACCCCCACCAGTCCAGGGGGGGGGGACAGGGCCAGATCCACACGGTTGCCGTCCTTTGGTTGGGTCTGTTAGGCAGGATAGTGGAGCAGCGGCCGTCCGCCCCACTCACCGCCAGAGTAGGCCCAAATTAGGGCATCAAGGGTCTCTCCTCCTGGGGACTGTAGCTTGGGGAGCCAGCCTCACCCTGGATCCAGTGTCCCCTGTACACTGAGGACAGGCACTGGCGGTCCTTGGTATGGTTAGAAATGTTCTTTTTGTGGCTATTTAGTTATTAATTTGTAGGAGCTGAGCTGCCATGCTGCCTTCCAGCTCGGCGGTCCGGCCCCGCCCCGATTTTTACCCTTTTAGTTGCAAAAATAAGCAAAACAGACTGAATTTATTTATTATACTGGGAATCGCTGCAAACTAAAAAGGAAATTGCTAATTTTTAGCCGTAAGAGTCAAATGGGAGAAGAATTGCCAACTCAGCTGTTTGAGCCTGAATTGTCAGTTTAGTGAATACAACTCCATGGTTCTGAACAGGTTATAAATCTATAGTTTCTCTATATCTTTTAACGTTACAATTTGTTTTGTATTTTATTTTATAACAGGAAAATGTATTTTCTCACCCATCTTCCTGTCCCTAGTACTGAACAATAAGTATTATATTCTGAAAATTACAGAGGTTTTTTTTGCCAATTAAAATGCCTGTTTTGTGTATATATACTTTGTGTGTAACTCCTCCATTCCATGCTAGATTTCATCCCACATTTTCTATACTGTCCACATCTGCCCAGCTATCTTTACTGCTTAGAAACAGTAGTTATTTTTGCTGCCTTTTCCCCCAGAGATAAAAGTAATAGAATCATGGAACCTGTTTAAAATAAAAGTTCAGTTTCTAAGAACTATTAACTTTAAAAGCAAAGAGGGATGCACCAGAAGTACAGGAGAACATTTCAAATATCATTGTCGAGTAATAAACAACATACACACATGTGTATGTATATATATATATGTATGTATATATATAGATGTAAAAAACAGATAAAATTCTTATCTTGTAATACCTTTTTTTATTGGACTAACAGAATTTTTTAATGACAAGCTTTCGGGAGAACCTCCCTTTCTCAAGTCTGAAGCATTTCTGAGCAAAACGACACATAGAATTCAAAGTTGAGTTGTGATACAGGGGTTAAAGCGACATGAGTGTAGATAAGACACAGGTTTGTTAGAAAATAGACACCATCTTGTCGCTTTAACCCCTGTATCACAACTCAACTTTGAATTCTATGTGTCGTTTTGCTCAGAAATGCTTCAGACTTGAGAAAGGGAGGTTCTCCCGAAAGCTTGTCATTAAAAAATTCTGTTAGTCCAATAAAAAAGGTATTACAAGATAAGAATTTTATCTGTTTTTTACATCTACATCACTGGACTAATACGGCTACAATCTCTACTTGTGTGTGTATGTATGTATGTATATATATATGTGTATATATATGTATGTGTGTGTGTGTATATATATATTATCTATTACTCAGCAATATATATATATATATATATAATTGTGTGTGATATGCATTATTTATATATATATTTTTTTTGTAAATCTTTTTATTGAGATTTTCATATGATTCTCGAAACTGAGCAACACTCATCGTCAATTACAAACTTGTGTTGTGATGGACTCGCAGGCCCAATCCGAACATAACATATGACCTGTTTATACAGTAACTGCCCCCCGAACATGTTAGCAAATCCCAACTGGTGTAATACATGTTACATAACCATTTATCTCCGCTTGTCTCCAATGTGTGTGGCTAAATTCTCCTCGTGAGAGTGAAAGGCCCAGCATTTACTGAGATAATACAGGGTAGGCATAACTGGCATTTGGCAGGCCTTCAAGTCCAGTTAGGTATTATTTATGGTCACCATTTTGATTCAAGCCTGATTTCAAATGGAGCCATGTGTACGTGTGTCTTATGTCCAACATCTTGTATGTCTGTCTGGTGCGTATGAGCAGAGTAGTCGTATATATGTCATGGAACCCGGTCCGTGTGTCTATCCTGATGCGGCGGGTGCCGTGTCAAGTCGGACTAATTCAGTACTATCTCATCAGCTCTCTCCATCAGCCCTCTAATTCCTGCCTCCTAACCTTGATTCCCGTCAGGTTTGACAACGCTGCGTGCCAGCGTCAGTCTTGTGTGGTCTCTATGAGAGCGTACCTTTATCGTGTCTGACATCTCTCGAAGTATCTGTGCAGTGTATGCTTCCGTATTGAAAAAGTCGGCCTAATGGCTATGTATGGTGTTAGAATATAGTCTACCTCTAAGTTAACCAGAAAAGGTAAAGAGAAAGGCATAGAGAGAATAGGTGAGGGAGATGTATCCACATCTCCCACTCCATTGTGCCTCCGTCACCACCCCCCCTGCCCCCCCTCCCCATCTACAGCCCTCTCGCAATGTGTTCGTACCACGGCAACCATGCCTTCGCATGCCCGACCGCCCTACCTGTGAGGGAAGCATGCATCGCCTCCGCCCCCTGTATCTCCTCCACCCTATGTAACCATTCCTCCTTATGCGGCGTGGTCTGAGATTTCCAGTGTACTGGTATAAGCGCTTTGGCTGCGTTTAAAAGGTGTCTCAGTATCGAGCGCTTATATTGGGAAATCGACATTGATGAAATGTGCAGCAAGACTAGTTCTGCTGTCCACTCGGTCACATCCCCCAAAATATCCCATATGGTAGACCTAACCATGTCCCAAAAACAGGAGATTTTGCTACAGTCCCACCATATATGCATCATGGTGCCCTGTTCCAGCAGGCATCTCCAGCACGTTGGAGATATCATTGGGAGTATTTTATGCAGTGACCCTGGGGTTCTATACCATTGTGATAGTAGCTTATAATTCATTTCCTGGTAGCCCGTGCTAATAGAGCTCTTATGGTGCCAGAGTAGTGCCTTGTCCCACTGTTGTGGCGTAAATTGCTTTGTTAGTAAAATTTCCCACCTCCTTCGGAATAGGTCATGTTCACGCAAATGTCCCGTTAAGAGGTGTTGGTACAAGATGGAAATCATTCTGCGTTGCGTCGTGCCCGCCATGCAACAGCCCTCAAACCATGTGAGGTCTCGGTGTACTCGTTCTCTGTTACGTAGTGCGCCGTAGAAATGTTTCAATTGTAAGTATCGGAGTACCTCCAGCATAGTGTGCGGTCTCCCGCTCAATAAGGAGTCCAAGGTTCGTAATCCTCCATCTTGGAAGGTAGTGTGTATAGGGATGTGTCCAGTATCCTCTGAGAAGGGCCATGCCCCAGCTGTGAGACCCCCAGCATATTTATTTTTGTAATCTGTAGCATGTGACATTGCAATTTACATTTTTGTTTTGTGGTGTGATAGAAAGGGCAGTGCTGACACATGCCGTAGAGTTGACAGCTGTAACTGGGAAGCAGTTTCTTGCACGTTCAGCTTTGTGGCGTGTGTGAGTGCACCTGTCAACGGAGACTGTACTTTGCTTTCAGTGGATTTTATTACCTGGCTGCCTTGGAGGGAATATGGAACACGTCTGGATAAGTTACACTTCTGTTTTTGTAAGCAGCAAGCAGTCAGCTGTGACCATGTTTGAAATGAACTCCATGTTTAGTTAAGGCTCTGCTTCTGCATTTCTCTCATCCCTGTGTATTGTGTGATTAGCGGTTTTACAGCTTGAATAGCTAGTGATTTGAAAAGAGAGAACTAACCCACTTACTGCCAATCCAGACAGGCATTTGACTGGTGCCTGGTCTAATGAATATACATGTAATACAATAGCCTGATACCCAGGGTTTAATGGGTGCAGAGTTACATTTGCTAAAAGAGGCTAATTGAGTTGTTTACTAAATGTGTTATATGAGCCAGTGAATTGGACTGTTATTGGCTTACTTTGCTTCCCAACTCCAATTGTATATTTCATATGATTATCAAGAATGTGCTGTGCATGTCTGGCCACATTCCTTGATTGCATGATAGGACTTCATAAGCATCTAATGTGTACTGTCATCTTTAATAGGGTTTGTCTCTGGGCACATACTTGTAACAAAACATTAGCGAATCTAATCATAAATCCTAAATATATATAATTTTTTGCTTTGCAAGGCTATTTTTCTTCTTTTTTTTACCCAATATTGCAGATCCAGGCACTTAACATTTTAGTTCCTAACAAGCCATTATGTAAACCTTTATTGAATGGCAGGGGTGTAAAGTGGTCACACTTAAATTATGCAAATAATTTCTTTTCCTTCTCACTTTCCATAGTAAATGATGTCTATAGAGACATGGTTAATGTAGTGTGTGTGTGTGTGTGTGTGTGTGTGTATGTATATATAATATTATATAGTGTGTGTGTGTGTGTATACACATCTACATATGTGTGTGTGATATAGAGAGAGAGAGAGAGAGAGAGAGACACATATGAAGATAGCTCTTATGGAAAAGCCATCTTTGAATCCAGAATTGTAGACTTCAGTATAGTCCATTTTCGAGATTTGCAATTTGTTAGGCAATTAATGAAGTTTTTCATTCATTTCATTCTAGGCCAGGGGTCAGCAACCTATGCCACTGGAGGTGCCTTTGCACGGCACTCAAGGCTGTCAGAGCCAAACAGTCTCTGGTCTATCAGGAATGCCAGTGGAACTTCAGTTGCTAGTGCAAACCGTCCAGTGATTGCAGGTGGTGAGGGACAATCCTCAATTTACGCATTGCAGCACTTAATGTAAGACTATATGCTCTTGTTGTGGTAGTTTTTAGTCTTTTAACCCCTTAAGGACAGCAGGCATACTATGCCGTCCTTGAAAGGGTGGCTCTAAACGCTGGAGGGCTGGGAACTGCCCGAGACCCCAGCAGACCCCCTACAGCAGCTTCAGCCACCCCGATCACATGGCCGCAATAGAAGTCTATGGCGCTGCCTGCAGGGGGACTGTCTGTGCTGTCACCGTCCACCTGACACCTAAAAGTGAAAAAGAAAATTCAATAAAATAATCAAATATATTGTACATATATATGTATGATATATTATAAAATAGAGCGTTTTATAATATATTAGACATATAATGCATATATATGAATTCATTATAAGTGTACATTGAGATATACACATATCTCAAAATGCACTTATAATGTAATCATATATACAGTATGCATTGTATATGTGTGTGTGTGTGCGCATATATATATGTATATATATATGTATGTATATATATATATATATGTGTGTATATATATATGTGTGTGTGTGTGTGTGTGTGTGTATGTGTGTGTATATATATATATATATATATATATATATATTTGTAGTCGGGGCAATATAGTCGTATACAGAAATCTAGCGTGGAGTGGATTGGCAGCCCTTTTAAAGGGAATTCAAGCCCCTCCCACAACTACAGGCCAAGCCTTCAAATTTGTAGTCGGGGCAATATAGTCGTATACAGAAATCTAGCCTATAATAACCATAACATCAGTTAGTTGGAACCAGTCGGTTGTGGTGTGCCGGAACTGACAAAACAGTAGGCCTGTAATAAAAGTGGGCAAAAGAAAATTCCATAAGACGTAATACAGACATATAGCACAAATTCCAGGTTTTGTTTTTGTTTTGTTTTGATCACAACTTGTACAATTGGCTCAGTCCTTAAGGGGTTAAATATAATCTCCTTCTGTACTGTTTTGATTTTCTTTATTATATAAATGCTTCTATCATAATCCCCCCGGTCTTGTCTTTCTTCCAAGCTATACATATTTAGATACTTTAACCTTTCCTGGTTAGTTTTATTCTGCAGTCCATGATAAAGTTTAGTAGCCCTTCTCTTAACTCTTTCCAAATTATCACTATCTTTCTGAAGATACAGTGAAGATTCACCGAGATACATTTATCTCAGTGAAGTGATCTCAGCTCAATTGCTCCTGGCACTTGTGAATGGGAATCCGCACTGGAGTGCACCAGTCTGCAAGACCAATCGCAGTTCCTGTCCTTGACCTCTATCTGGTCAGCCTGGACCCCAAGGAAGCCACCAACAATGATAGATATTCAGAGCTGCAGAATAAGCCTCGCCTTCATACAAATAATACAAATAGCCCACAGACACACACACACACAGTCCCCAAAAAACACAACACCACAAGTAGCCTCTCACATGCAATACAACATACACAGCCATACACAGCCCACATTTATAGGTATCATACACAATACCACAAGCTACTCATGAACATCTACAATATAGCAGCCCCCATACACACAAATACAATGCTTCAAAGCAACCGTAGCACCCACAAATAGCACAAGCAAAATACCGCAACATACACACCTCATTTTAAAGTAAAAAATAATTAGGATTGGCACACAAAGGATTTCACGATCTTGTTTTGGCACACTACTACTAAAAGGTTGCCTACCCCTGTTCTAGGCCAATGCTCTCTAGATGTGTTAGAATAAATAAGATTAATTTCGTCATTGAAGGATTTTCTGTCACAAGATGTTCACATTGCTAACAGAAAGATATCCAGGCTGCATTCCTTTCATCCCCTTAACCACACCCAGCTTTACTACTAATGTTTTCAACTTGCAATCTCCCTGGGAGGACACTTAATTGTTCCCAGTATTTTGTCTCTACTTGTAGTTTGATGCCATTGTTTATGCAGTCAGGTGGTATTGAAAGTGGTAACATTATAATCAGGGCTTATTGAAGTCCTATGCTACTAGCCAGGGTTGAAAGTGCTTTCCGCTGCAGGCCTTGGCATACTCACCTGGAGTGAATTTCTTCTCACCAGCACTACATTTTCAGTCACTAGTGGTGAGTTGTAAATTTGAGTCCTGTTATAAGTATTACATTTGATAGCTGTCCTAATTTCTTTTGTTTACAAACCAATAGTAATGTTTTTATTGTATTACAAAAAAATAAATCATAGTAAGTAGGGGTGTTATATAAAATCGTTACATATAAATACACTTAGCAGTCTTTATAAATACAACAGAGAATGGCTATGCTATTGTTTAATGTATAAAAGGATGCTGCACACTAACATGTATATCGACCAATGCCTGGGACATGCCGTTCCAGGCGAGTCATTTTTCTATTTATTTAGCCAGCAGCAGGGCTACTGGGGAAAGGGGAGGCTAATTTGGTGTGGTGGAAGGATTGTCTGCTTAGCCTAAAGCCAGCTAGAGGCCGCAGTGGACTGCCAGTCATGCCAGAAATGTTGGGGTCAGCAGCCGCTTTTTGGCGATTCTCAGAGCTGATGACAACATATTCTTGAGAAAAATACAACGATGGTAAGAAAGGAAAAACCTTCCACAAGGGTTGCAATGGTTGTGGAATACTCAGGGCATAACCCAAAATGAACATCGAAAGGAGGACAGGAAGGGGTAAGCTAAATAAACAAACCCACTAACAGACCTAGTACCCTTCGAGACACTGCTCTATCATTAATAAGTTAAAATGCCTTAATTAATTTAGAGCAAAAAAAGAAAGAAACTATAATTTTATTAATCCCTAATGAGGCAATAACAAAAAAAATCTAAATAACATAATTTGAATAATCAAGTGTTGAAAAAAATAACTAAATGAAAAAATAAGTGGTTAAAATAGGACCAACCGTTGTATCAATTAGATCTAAACCGTTTCAATACACACTGAGACTGGTATTTTATAGAATGTTAAAAATCATTACAACAAAGTTGCTTGTCTGTGTCCAATACTGAATTGGATCTTAATCTGTGGGGTATATTGGTAAAGGTTAGTACTTGATTATGAGAAAGATAGAGAGCATCATACTGAGTAAGGTC